AGGGAAAAAATGCAGTCAAAGGAGGATGGAAGATGATGCAAAAAGGTTGCTGTGTAGCATACATACAATATAAAACTTGTTGATGCTTTTCCCACAGGAAGATTATTAAAATTTAAAATTGCAGGTCTTTTATTTTTTTTAACTGAAAGCAGTTTATTTAATCTTCGAGTCTCACGATCTTTCTTCTCTACTAGATCTTTGCACAAAACTTAGAACTTCATGTTGTGCCTTGTTAGGTAGTCTTCACTGATATACGATAAGCTATTTTAGGGTGTGGGTATTGTGTAGTCTGAGGGAAAACATGCATGTGGAGATTTAAACATAGTAAATGATTGTAAAAAGCAACTAATCGCTACAGGAATCTAAGGGAAAACTTTGCACCTCTATGAGTTGAGACAATAGGATGTTATGACCAAAATGGCAGCAGGAAGATAGCAATGATAAAGTAATATCTTACATTTGCTATAGAGCTTCATGGTTTACAAAACTCTTAGGTGTACTTTTCTTAATAATTGTCATAGCAACTTTATAAAGTAAGTCATTATTTTCCACCCTTTACCAAAAGATAAAGAGAAGTCAGTGAGGTTAAATAACTGAGCAGGGTTACCTACCTAAATGTGTTGGCATATGAGTCGGTCCTGGAGCCAGACCGCATGGGACCTAATCCTAGTTTTGTCTCTTACTACTTCTTGATTTGGGGAAAGCAATTAAATCCTTCCATGCCTTGGTTTCTTACTCATTATCTACGGGCACACAATATCCATTAGCAGGTGTTATAATAATTATTTATATATTCTTTTTGAGATCTGGAATTTCTACCAAATCATTTTATTTCATGTGACTATTGTGTTAAGTAACTGGACTTCGAATCCAAGGACTTAAGCATCATTCTCATCTCTTCCATAAAGACAAGACTATCATATTGAACTATTAGAAAATGATGAAGATACAGTATAATGTTAAAATGTTACAGTCAAAAATTGCTGTTAAAAATCAAAGGGAAGGAAAGCCAGCTACTGAAGGCTACAATAATATAAGAAGGTTTCACAGAGGATTTCCGTAACATAGCTGAGCATTAATTTGTATCCTGTATCATTATCCAATTTTGCCAGTCTAACCTTAGACTGATTATAAGCTATTTATACACAGGTACTACATATATAGTACCTATTGTCTCATTTGATATAATTTTGTTAAGCATGTTATGTAAATATAAAATATTAATTTATTAGGGATATAAGATCACAATATAATAACAATAACTATGGCTACATAGTGCATCTCTTGAGACAGCTATTAGTAAAGTATCATTTAAAAGAAATAAGTACTATTAATAAACAAGCATATATACATTAAGGATATTAATAAACAAACATGTACATATAATTTTGCACGTTATTTTGCAATTTCTTTCTATTTAACAACATATCTCAAATATCATCCTATATTACTACATATCAAGCTATTTAAATAGTTTCTTTTATTATCTTCCACCATACCTTTTTTATGTGCATTCTTCTGAAATGTAAAAAGTTTGTTTTTTTCTAATTACCTCTACAATTAAACTTGATTTGATGCATATATTTACTATTCTTTATATTTTATTTACTCCTGACTATGAGCATTGACAGAATTATTTAATTTCTGCTTCTTCTCCCTCTGCTTTCTTCTCCTCCACCACACTGTACTTATTATATTATTTTCCTATTAATTTTGAATCTTCAAATATTGAGGGCCTACTCTCAATCAACACACCCCATCCCTATTGTTCCAGGCCCTTCTTGGAGTACTACCTACTTTGGAGAATTGTCTTTTGCCAACTTTGCCTAAGATCTGTAGTCACTATGTGTCCTCTTAGCATAGTTGAAGGTCTTGAAACATAGTTGACTGTCACTATATTTGGCAACCCTCCATCACAGATGGTGCTTCAGAGTTAGAGATGTCACTGAGTTTTATGTAAGTTAAAGTTAACATCTCTGATCATTGTTCTCCATGTTCTTTTTGGTTGATTGCCAAAATCTCTTTATTTTAAACCAAAAATTCTCCATTTGCTATTTAAAGTAATTATTAAAAGGCTTGTTTACAATGCCACATGTTGATGGCAATATGAGGTCATATGACCAAAAATAATTACTACATCTGTGATATCTTGTCTCCTTTTTTAGTGGTACCCATCAGATGACCTAAATAACATCCAAAATTAGCATTTAATTAACAACGTTTTAGATTAATGTCT